ATAAATAAATAAAGGGGGTTTTAGAAACAAAGAAATGGTGCCATGGCAGAATATCAAATCATAGTTGAAAATCCTCTAGTTGGAAAGAATATACGAGTTACCATTTTTCTTAGCTTTCACAATGAACTCTTCTTTTAAAAGGCAAGAAGAAGGGCAGGGAGCTAAAGAGATTTGAACCCCTTATTCAGCTTTTTCTGGTGTTTCACACGTCATTAATATTACTTACACACTTTCCAGTATATGTTTGCAACTGTAAGGAGAGTTGCCACATTCAAAAGTGAGATTCTCAGCAAACTGTGTCTATTAGCATACACTGTTGAACTGCACCATATTTGTAGCTATGCTCTAATGAGCTCTGTTCTTAATCATGTATTGTTAATCCACTTCTGGTAATTCTGTATGCAAACAGTCTGGCCATCATGATTTCTTTCCTCCATTGAGTCACATTTTCCCTATACCATGATGTAATTTGTGGTCTGTGCAGAGGGAAAGAACTAGGGAGAATTTAGAGGAAGAGTGAGGCTAATAATGACACTAAAGGAACACACATTAAAAGGTAACCTGCATACACACCAAGGCCTCTCAGAGTCAGGAAAAAAAAATCTCTAATCCATGCTAATCATATCTTTCATAACACCTCTCTTCTTCCCTCCCAATTTTGTTTCTATCTTTAGGTTGCATGATATGTTTATATAATTTCTGCAAGTTAAAAATAAAGTTCATTGATCAAATGAAAACTAGGGAGCTAATCCAAAGTGGCAATTGACACCTGAACATCCTGAAAACATCCTGAACCAATTGAAGACATCTGGACATCCACCTATATTTAGAACAGATAACCACATCTTTTATGAAGGCACTAGGGCTTCTTGGAAATACAACTTTTCCAGTTGCAACTGCAATGCCAATAGCTCTTGAGAAAGCTAGGGTCTGTAGTCCAGGAGACATAGTCCTCCCAATATATTCTCTTGAGAGAAGATAGGAAGAAAGCCCTCTCTCTGCTTCTTCATGGCTCCTTGCTGGAACTGCACCATAGTTTAGTGGAATTTAAAGAGAAGAGGGAGGGCTTTGGATGACTAGGATTTGCAATATATGGCATTAATATTATAACCAATTGCTTGATTTATTCTAATTAATTCATACTACAGCCAATTGATATCCATCAATATACTGATGATACACAGCTCTATCTCTCTTTTTCTTCAGCTGTAGTGGACACTGTCCAGGCTCTTGAGTGTAGCCTGGCTTCGATGAGGGCAAACAGGTTGTAACTCAATCCTGACAAGATGGAAACCTTGCTGTTAGAAGGCTCCCCTGGCTGGTTGGGGATTATCTTGCCTGCCCTTGAAAGGATTATGCTCCTCCTAAAATAACAGATTTATAATTTGGGGACATTTTTTGACTTGGCACTCTTATTTGAACACCAAAGTTCTGGATGCACAGCCTGAAGAAGATGAGTTATTACTGAAAGCTAGCTGTCTGTAGTTTGCTTGATTTTTAGTGGTATAATAAAAGTATCACCTGCTCCTGCACTTTATTTAGGCATACAGTAAACAGAAGAGTACTGGCAGCATATGTGGAGAAAATGCATTGAACAAGAAAAACAAATCTACTGGTACTAGGAAAGACATTTACTACTTAATGAATTTTATAAACCTAAACATAAGATGCTTTGGTTATTTTTTGTTTTTGTTTTGTTTTGCAAACGGAACATCCTTATAATCAAATTGGCAAAGACCTGATTCACAATACAATCTCAAGCTCTGTTTCTAACCGGAAAGATTTTTTTAAAAAAACTCATATATCCTGTAGGGTTTCTGAGGCTGGCAGTAAAAGCCAGTTGTTAATGCCATCATCAAGACAGTTTGGACAGCAAGAGAAAAGAAATCCCTTCTATAAAATCCTACATGTTACCAATATAATAAGTTCCAGTTCTTCATTTATTCTTGTCTTATTTCATAGATTCAGGGCATCTCAGAGTATTACATAGAAAATTCCACATGACACAAAAAATATAAAAATATACTCTTTAGTTAACAGAAACTGCTCTGGGCTGTTCATAGATATTACCATTCAACTTGCCAGAATACCAAGATTTGCTTTGCTGGATCAGAACAAAGATACATTTAATTAAGGAGCTGCTTCCAACAATGGCCAGCCAGCCAACATTCTGAGGAAATAGAGAATGGGAAGTAAAGAAGCACTCAGTAGTCTGTCCCCAGCCCCTGACAAGACTACTGTTTATTTTTTCATTCACCACCGTTTACCAGATTTGATCCCAACAGTATGTGTCAACTCACAGATTTATAAGGTTTGTAGATACCAAGAAACCTAAGGCTTTATGGGTCAGAACCAGTTCTCAGAAAATAATTGCAAGACAACACAAACTTTGCCTTATTTGTAGACTGACTTGTAGACTAGGTAAAGGTTCCCCTTGACAATTTGTCCAGTTGTGTCCGACTCTAGGTGGCAGTGCTCATCTCCGTTTCCAACCCACAGAGCTAGCGTTTGTCCGCAGACAATCCTCTGTGGTCACGTGGCCAGTGTGACTAGACACAGAATGCCATTTACCTTCCCACCGAGGTGGTACCTATTTATCTACTCGCATTTTTGCATTTTGCATGCTTTTGAACCGCTAGGTTGGCGGGGGCTGGGACAAGCGATGGGGGCTCACTCGGTCATGTGGATTCCATTATACGACTGCAGGTCTTCTGACCTTGCAGCACAGAAGCTTCAGCGGTTTAACCCGCAGCGCCACCACGTCCCTGACATGTAGACTACTGATGCATTATTTGTTATCTTCAAAGGTTAGAAATAGAACTATCATCTCCATGATTTCCTCTGTATCAGGAATTTATTTACTTTTCAATAATAATATGGAAGTGAAAAGAATGACCACATCAACATTTTTGTTTAGATCAGTGCAGGGTTAGAAAGAGATCAACTATTCAATGATCTTGATTTCTCGGCTTCATTTCCTGTTTCTTTGGCTAGGATAATGTAGATGTTTCAGAAACTTTCCAATTGTTTATAAAGATTGAAAATCAGCAATCAAAACCCTTTTGCAAATATCTGCTCAAATGCAGTAAATTGGTGACTTCTTTTATCTGCAAAGCCGTAAGAATGCCTGTGCTTACCACTTCAGTTGGCCTGTAGTATTTATGATTGACTGTCACATGGATCTTGCCAGTTTCTTTGCATCTGCCCACTTCATTTTCATTCTTGCCTTCCCACCTATAAATATAACAAACATTTGATCACATCATTGTGACTTCACTGGTCTAAATACAGGAGTGCTGCGCTTGCTACTTCTAAGGCAACAAGGTTGGTGTAAATTCACTCTACAAGGCTATATACATTCACCAGTCACAGAAGTAAAAACAGAGGCTTGGCCAGACTGGAAGAATAATGGGCTTCCATATTTCAAGTTTTAGTTATATACTTGAGTTGTAGCTAGGGCTAGCCTACCATAAAGTAGAATAAAGAATTTGTCTTAGGCAGCAGATCCTGAGGAAGGCCAGGGGTACAGAGTTCTATCTGTAGCACACAGCCTGTTTTGTGCCCCTTAACCTATTCTATTGCTGTCACGTGAAGCAGGGGTAACTTGCATTGAAGTAAAAATCTGATTGCTACTCTGGTCAATTTCTTTGCATAGAATCGGGGGGGGGGGGACGCCATTTTGTTCTTTGTCTGAAGCAAGAAAATATCTTGAGCTGGCCCTGCAGCAGAAGCTTTTGTCCACTACAGCTCACTTTGACAGACACATAGTATTATCGTTGGTTTGAAGTTACATATGATGTCACAGAAATAAAACACTGTCAGTGGGTACAGTATTTATATATATTGATCTTCCATTTCATGGCACATGAGGACACTTGTCCATGAAAGATTAGGCCTCAAGAGTTAGTCATTATGGAGCCATAAAAATCTGCCTGCTGGTATAAGAGGATAAATCCCAGCAGCAAATGGCTGCAAATTCAGAAGTCAATGTAGGCATATGCTCTCTGCACTGGGTTATTCAGTGTGTAACAGCAAACACCAAGTCTGACTTATTGTGGCAATTTGCTGCCAAGATTTATGCACATTGCCAATGTAAACTGTCACTGGATTTGGCCATTGAACGACAGAACTGTAAAATAAAACACATACGCATACATATAAAATATACATGAAGATATTAATTCATTATTTGATATGAAGCTTAAAATAAAAATATTACTTAATATGCTCTTTGATTTTTGTTTTTCCTTAAATTAAAGCTGTTACCTAATATGTTGTTAGCATTTGTTCTTCCAGCCTTAGCAATACCAGAGTCACAAGCAATCTCCCATCTGCTTTGTAATCAGTTTTATAATCTACTGAAAAGGAACACTTGAGTAATGACTTTGAACAATAGACTGAAAACCAGACATCTAATTATGTTCCATTTTGCTTCATACTGCGTTTCCTCCCTCATAACACTTTGGCTTGCTATTTTTAAACAAACTTTCTGACTGGTCTTTTTTTTTTTTTTTTTTTTTTTTTTTTTGTATAGCCCTCTTTTGTTTTGTACGCTATGGCACTAGCTAAATACTTTTCTAGAGTACTATCTAAAAACACATGCTGGGCTTCAAAAGGGGGAAATTTTGACTCTATTTAGTGGACTAGCATATGGTCTGTTCACACAATCACTCTTGCTTATTGCCTACCTCTTTAAAAATGCTGAAATGGAACACAGGAATGATTAGGCCTCATGTTCGGTGGGGTGAACTGCAACCAGAATGAACAAACGGTGTACATATGTTTGCATAAGGTTGAAATCCCCTCTGTTTCCCTTAAACTCAGAGGGCCCTGTGTGCATTTTGTTTCCTTGGAACATCAAACACTTCCACCCTCTGCCATGCAGACCTCTAGTGAGGACACTGGCATGGGAAGCAAGGATGAATTTTGCTTATCAGAAGAAGAACATTATATGGATTTGAAGTATCTTTGCAGGGAGGGAGATTCCGTTCCCAAAGTATTTTAAAAATCTGAAATCTTATTGCTTATGGTAGTAAGTCACATGAGAATAGGATCATTGAATGAGCGGGGATTTGGTGAGTCATCTCAGCAAGTTTTATTGATACAAATGAGCCTATTCTAGTTGTGACTTACTTTAGTGTAGTAAGTCACAACTAGAGTATGCCTATTTACATCAATAAAACTTGCAGAGGAGATGACTTACCAAATTCCCACTGATTCAATGGGCCTATTTTAGTGCAACGCTCTACCCTAAACAACCAGGATTTCGGCCCGTATGCTAACAAACACTATGTCAAACACTCACATGAATCATAGCTAGAAAACTATAAACATCCTAATTATCAAAAGAAAAATAGAGGAAAGTACTCTCTAGCAAGAAATATAAGGGCAACCTCTAAGGAATTCCTAGGTTACATCAAGGTAGTTTGTCAGTAACTACTCTCACTTTCAACTTTCCCCATTAAATGGCACAATGGCTGAAATATTTTTTTTTGTCAATATAATATATATTTCCTGGTAGGCTTTTGCTGATTCAGGGGAAAGCAGTAAGAAACCCATTAACTTTTATGTAGCAACAGCAGTAGAATGTACTCTAAATGACTTGGAGATACTTGAAATTATGCCATGAGATTTCTTCAGACGAGTGGATCTGGCTGGTCTTTTTTTTTTTTTTTTTGTATAGCCCTCTTTTGTTTTGTACGCTATGGCACTAGCTAAATACTTTTCTAGAGTACTATCTAAAAACACATGCTGGGCTTCAAAAGGGGGAAATTTTGACTCTATTTAGTGGACTAGCATATGGTCTGTTCACACAATCACTCTTGCTTATTGCCTACCTCTTTAAAAATGCTGAAATGGAACACAGGAATGATTAGGCCTCATGTTCGGTGGGGTGAACTGCAACCAGAATGAACAAACGGTGTACATATGTTTGCATAAGGTTGAAATCCCCTCTGTTTCCCTTAAACTCAGAGGGCCCTGTGTGCATTTTGTTTCCTTGGAACATCAAACACTTCCACCCTCTACCATGCAGACCTCTAGTGAGGACACTGGCATGGGAAGCAAGGATGAATTTTGCTTATCAGAAGAAGAACATTATATGGATTTAAAGTATCTTTGCAGGGAGGGAGATTCCGTTCCCAAAGTATTTTAAAAATCTGAAATCTTATTGCTTATGGTAGTAAGTCACATGAGAATAGGATCATTGAATGAGCGGGGATTTGGTGAGTCATCTCAGCAAGTTTTATTGATACAAATGAGCCTATTCTAGTTGTGACTTACTTTAGTGTAGTAAGTCACAACTAGAGTATGCCTATTTACATCAATAAAACTTGCAGAGGAGATGACTTACCAAATTCCCACTGATTCAATGGGCCTATTTTAGTGCAACGCTCTACCCTAAACAACCAGGATTTCGGCCCGTATGCTAACAAACACTATGTCAAACACTCACATGAATCATAGCTAGAAAACTATAAACATCCTAATTATCAAAAGAAAAATAGAGGAAAGTACTCTCTAGCAAGAAATATAAGGGCAACCTCTAAGGAATTCCTAGGTTACATCCAGGTAGTTTGTCAGTAACTGCTCTCACTTTCAACTTTCCCCATTAAATGGCACAATGGCTGAAATATTTTTTTTTGTCAATATAATATATATTTCCTGGTAGGGTTTTGCTGATTCAGGGGAAAGCAGTAAGAAACCCATTAACTTTTATGTAGCAACAGCAGTAGAATGTACTCTAAATGACTTGGAGATACTTGAAATTATGCCATGAGATTTCTTCAGACGAGTGGAATTCAAACTTGGATAACCCAGGTGTTCTTAGATTGCAACTCCCAGAAACCCAGGTCCACACAGCTAGTGGTGAAGGCTTCTGTGATTTGCAGTTCAAAGACACATAGGTTATCCGAACTCGGGAACTACTACTCTTCTGGACTCATGATCATAATGAGCCTTTTAAAATGGCCCATCAGAGTCTCTAATTCAAATGTTACAATGTGCATCTCATGTCAGAGAAGGCTTTCTCTTAAATAAAAAATACAGTGGTGCCTTGCATAGCGACGTTAATCCATGCAGCAAAAATCGCTGCTAAGCGATTTCGTTGCTATGCGATTTTAAAAAGCCCATAGAAACACATTAAAACCTATTTAATGTGTTCCTATGGGCTTAAAACTCACCTTAAAGCGAAGATCCTCCATACGGCGGCCATTTTCGCTGCCTCTTAAGCGAGAAATCCATCCCTGCACACAGCGGACAGCCATTTTTTTACCCGGCGGCTATTTTGGAACCGCCGATCAGCTGTTAAAAAATCACCACTTTGCGATGATTGGTAAGCGAAACAGGGAACCGATCATCGCAAAGTGAAAAAATCCCATTTAAAACATCGCAATGCAATTGCTTTTGCGATTGCAAAAACTTAATCACTATGCGGTTTCGTCGCTAAACGGAGCGCCCGTTAAGCGAGGCACCACTGTACAATCATCTGTTGCTTTTAGTATTAATAAGAATAAAGGATGAGTCAAGGAGAAATCAACGCTCATATTTTGGCCAATTTTCTGCCCAGAGCGTTTTGATAGAACAAAAACATCCTCTCTATAAAAGTTTTTGTTCTAAGATAGAGATATCAAAATTAAAAAAAAAACAGAATAAAAACCACAAAGAAGAAAATAAGAGTACTGACAGAAAACCTACGATAAGCTAGACCAAAACAGAGAAACATTTGAGGCAAACTGGGGTGTTGTAGTGCATCCATGTTAAAGAGAGATTTTTAACAGCTTAAAGCAAGAGGAAACACAATAATATACAGTACTGTACATGCACTGCAAACAATATTCAACATTTAATTCTGAATTGCCTCATAAACCCCACATCTCATTATGAGTGAACTACACATAACAGTTTAAGACTATTCTTCCCAAATCACAGCCAGGTTTTTGGAAGCATTTCTTGATATGTTCATAATTTTTACATGTTGTACATATCATTCCAAAATATTCTAAACAGCAGTTATTGCCTTACAAATGGGGAAATAAAGGAATGCTTGACACAAGTATACAGAGATACAGATTCTTACAGGAAGCAGTTTCTCAGGATTGCAAGTTTCTCACCAATTGGCCAGATTAGTCACTTCACTGGAGCTTGTCTAGTGCATGCACAACAGAATATTAATGCATACCACAAAGTTTTGCATGAGGCTTTCCCACTAGCAAAATGATGGACTTGGTTTAGAA